ATGACGTCGATGCTACCGTTCAAAGCTTTATGAATCTAATCAAAGAAGCTGGTTACCAAAACATAGGCAAAACTAGGGTGATACGGAGAAGGAATCCAGTCCCTTGGTGGAACGAAAAATGCGAACATGCAGTAGGAGAAAGCAAGCAAGCTCTGAATAAAATGAGAAGATATAAAACAGTTGAAAACCTAACTGACTTCAAACACTAACGTGCAAAGGCAAGACTTATTTTAAAAAGGGAACAAAAATTATCATGGCAAAAATTTGTTTCAACCATCAATAATGCCACCAATGTATCCACAGTCTGGAAGAAAATCAAAAGCATGTCTGGAAAAAAATCACATTCAGTCATTAGGTCGATAAAGAAAGGAACCCACACTTTCACTCAAAGCAGAGAACACCTTATCCAAAACATATTTCAAAAATTCCAGTGACCAAAATTATAGCGCAGCATTCCTTAATTACAAGAGAAACACAGATAGAACAATTCCCATTAGCGAAACCCTTCATTCAATAAATGACCCCATTACAGAACAGGAACTAACCGAGGCACTTCTTACATTGAAGAACACATCACCTGGACCTGATGATATACCAACAATTTTCCTAAAGCACCTCTCACATTCAGCGATGAGCATACTTTTAAAAATTTACAATATAATATGGACTAAGCAAGTTTTTCCAAACGAATGGAGGAAAGCCACAGTTATACCGATTCTAAAACCAAACGTACCACCCCAGGTTCCAGAATCCTATAGACCAATTTCATTAACGTGTTCAATGTGCAAGCTATTAGAAAAAATTGTTAACCGGAGATTATTGTGGAACTTGGAAAGCAAAAAGCAGCTGGCGCACGAACAGGGCGGATTTAGATCAAACAGATCAACATTGGATAATATCGAAGACCTAGAATGTTACATACAAGAGGCATTCTCTGAACGGCAGCATTGTGCAGCCATTTACTTTGATGTCAATAAGGCATTTGATACCGTATGGAAGTTTGACGTACTCATCAAACTAAAAAACTGGGGCTACGATGGACACATTCTAGCATTCATACAAAATTTTCTTGCCAACAGAAATTACCAAGTTCGTGCCAATGGTGTACTATCAGATGCTGAAACGCAGATCAACGGCCTACCCCAAGGATCTATTATCAGCCCAACACTTTTCCTGGTAGCCATTAATGACATCGTGGCAAATATAAAAAAGCCTCTCCAAACTCGCCTTTATGCTGATGACATGATTGTATATGTTAAAGGCAAAAATATGGCAACTACTACATCGTTGCTCCAATCAACGTCAAATCAAATGGAGCACTGGTCTAATAAAAATGGCCTGACATTCTCTCCTAACAAAACACAATGCATTATATTCTCTAAAAAGTCAACTCATACACAACCAACTCTACGCTTATCAAATGTTGACCTGAAACACATCAAGAAATAAAGTTCCTTGGGATTATATTTGATCAACGTCTGACCTGGAGGAGTCATATTATTTATCTAATTCAATCTTGTCAGAAAGGACTCAACATGTTACGATACCTAGCCAATAGACACTGGGGTGCAGATGGAAGAACCCTTTTAAGTATATATCGTGCACTAGTGAGATCGAAAATAGATTATGGCTGCATAGCATATAGCTCGGCAAAATCAACAGTACTGAGACCTCTAGACGTTCTACATAATTCTGCACTACGCCTGATATTAGGAACCTTCAGAACCACACCCATTGACAGTTTATACTGTGAGTCTGGAGAAGCTCCCCTATATGTTAGAAGACAATTCCTGAGTCTACAATACGCAACTAAACTTGCATCTTACCCATCTATACCAGGATTTAGTCACACACCTGTCAACCGTCAAATTGCCTCAAGTTTCAACTACAGAATAACACAGTATCTAAATCAACTACGTATGCCTATACTTCCTCCTACTATCACCACCACTCAGACAACTAACCCACCTTGGAGCATTCAGATACCTGTTATCAACAGCACACTGACAAAACTATGCAAAGAGGAAACACCAAAAGAAATTATATACCAGAAATTCTCAGAAATCCGCATGGTAACTACAGTGAAATATATACAGATGCCTCAAAATTACAAATGCACGTTGGCGCTGCAGTCATAACACCAACATCCATTATAGAATCTAAGCTGCCAGAGACAGCCACAGTCCTTACGGGTGAACTCTATGCAATATTTGAAGCCATCAAGTATATTAAAGGTAACTCCGCAAATAATTGGTTAATTATGTCCGACTCATTGAATTCGCTTAAGTTAATTAGTACTATGTACAGCAAGAACGCCATAGCTCAAAGAATTCGGGTTGAAATGAAAGATATTGCAATGCACAAAAGAATTGTTTTCCTATGGGTTCCATCACACGTTGGAATTCCAGGAAATGAGCTAGCAGATCGCAAAGCAAAAGACGCTGCCAACAACGCTACTAGATATATTGTCAAAGTACCAGAGTATGATGTAAGGGCTCATTTAAAATCGAAAATCATCCAGAACTGGAACAATCTGTGGCAGAGTAAACCATCCAAATTACTTGAACTCAAGTCTAAGTTGATGCCATGGTAAACCGTCACCAACAACCGCAAAATCCAGACCATCATCACACGACTAAGGCTAGGACACACACGAGCTACCCACGGATACCTGCTGTCTCAAGAACCTGTGCCCCTATGTGAAATCTTTGACGTGCAGTTAACAGTGAAACACCTACTAATTGAGTGCCCAGTGCTAGAAGTATATAGGTTTATGTATAAACTAAACGGAACACTGGCTGACATTATAGGACCACAGTGTAACATTATAAACATTTCCAATTTTCTTAAAGCATCTAGATTTATGTACAAAATTTAACCTACTCCCGCTAATGACCTTTAGGTCGAAGCGGTATGCTAAATAAAAAAAAAAAATTTTGTCTTTAACACGCTTTTATTAACTTGGCCTGTATGTATGTATGTAACGGAATCTTTGAGCATAATTTTAATCAATTTCCAGGAGTTTGATTCATTTGACACTTCGCACACGTATCAAGAACCGATGACAATGAAACAATATGATAACAGTTTTCGATTACCCTTATTAGGACCGCCAGGATTGATAAATTTTTTTATAGATCTTCTGTAGGGGAGTAAGAGAGATATAGAGCTAGCGCGCGATCTGCACATGCGTGCAGTTTCGGACTTACTCTTGTTGATTCGAGCACTCGGCACAGCAGAACGGAAGCAGATACATTTTCAAAGTAGTGCATTTCCACCTTGTTCATTGCGAGTGTTGCCATTAATCCTAAGTTGGGCTTCGATCGTCCACAACATGCAAGGTTTTACAGTCAATCATGCAGTCATTTATCTAGGCTCGCAACTGTTTGCTGCTGGACAAGCTTATGTAAGATGTTTAGACGGTATTCGGATTGAAGAACTTGATTGCTCTAGGTTAACAGGAAAAACCCCATGTAACAGTGAAGCTTTAGATGAAGTGATTAGATTACGAAATGATTCGTAAGACATTTCCATACCACATGCCCACAAAAAACAACAAGCGTGGGGTGCATTTTACTACATTCTCATAACTTTCCTCTCATAGATAGTGCCAATAGAATGATTGTAACATTTAATATATCAAGCACCGCACGGTTTTTACTCTGAATTGAATTATTCTGTTAATAACCTAAATTTTATTATAATTTTATTTTGAGGTCATTAATTATGATTGATTGTTGGACCATCTACTACTGTAATATAAACTCTTTGTAATTAAAATTTATTTTTTACTTTTTAGTTCCGTTAGCTATAAAAGCGTGTTTTTTTGTTTTTTTTAAATATTATTTATTGTGTAACCTTTTTTTACAAGCTACTTTAGGGGCTTAGATGCTGGAGTAGCAGGTCCTAAATCTTGCCCCATGTAATGCACTATGTTTTGCTCAATAAGTAATATTATTAATATTATTATTATACACTATCCAAAGGTTGTTTCCAAAATCAGTCTGCAGTCAGGATGAAAGTACATACTTTAAGGGGACTTGCTATAAGTTAATTTGTATTTAAATTCTTTAAATTCGTATTTTCAGAGCTTACCTTTATACCAAATTTGTTGTTTCTTTCCGCATTTGACAGGTTGACCCCCAATCATACTAGACCGCCAAGCGGAAGCAAAATTGGACATCGCTGTCATTGTCAGTATCATTACCTTTAAAGGTCTACAATTGTGTGGTCTCTATTGATTTATTGATTCTGTGTCGATCTGTACGACATACATCTGAAGGAAAAAAGACTAAATTCAGAAAAGTGGGCGGTGCAAAAAGCGATCATACATAATGCACTTAATCAGCGGAACGAATGCTAATCAGCAAACGGTGACATTGGCGCCGCTACAAGTCAGAAATAAGACTTTAAAGAGAACACGGTTTCACAATTTAGCAATCCAGTGGCGCCACCTGGGGTGCTCTAAATAATTCCAAACATACAGTTAAGATGTAATTCTCTCCGACCCATTGCACTTGAAGAGTTACTTTCATTCCAAGTAGGCTATGTTCCATTTAATAACAATAATTGTACAAAAAGGTTGATCAATCAACGCATTTATTTTGCAATTTAAATATAGAAATATTTTTATATTTTCTTAAATCATAGTAAGATAACTCCTTTACTACTATACAACTACAATACCTTCTCTCTACACCAGAAAACAATCATAGGACTGCCCTGAGCTGCTGGACGCATTTTAAAAAAACAATTTTTCTCAAAGACTACAATAAAAACAATTATAAAATATTTTCACGTAATTTTGAAGTAAATAATAAATTGTCATATTTCTAGTGGAAATTGCAATAACTTGAAAATTCTTTGCCCCATTATGTTTTTGCAAAGATTTAATCTGTGTTTAGGGCTAAAACGGGGGCATTGGTTCATTCCCTTAGCGATAAAAAAATAAGAAATGATTTTCAGCCCTGTTTTTCGTAAATAAAAAATTGAAGTGCAACATGTCTCCCAACAAGACCCATATTCTCGTAGAACAAGATTTTCAACAAGTTTTTACCGGTCCACTTACAAGTTCCCTCAAACATTTTGCTATATTTCTTAGACTACACGCTGAATAATCAAATTCTGACTCTTACAAATTACACATTTCCTTTTGGCAAATACATGTCTATTTACTACTAATTCGTACCTATTAGCAATCAGGGCTATTGCTGCGCTTATGCGCATTAACCGAGATCGTAAGTTCGCGTGGGATATTCAATGACAATTCAAATTATTGTAATCGAAACACTGAAATGGGTCGTTTTGGTTAATGTCGCAGATAAATATCTTGTTAGGACATTTTTCATTTGTCGCTGAAAGGTAGACGTTTATGTTAATCGTTTTCACTCGGTTTTTTCTCCTCTGTTACGTAAGATATCCGGTTACTAATAAATTTAATTGTCGCTCAGGTGTAGGTTAGCAGCCCATATCAGTCGTAGAATCATTTTTGTAGTAGGCCACAAGCAAATCATCCGTTAATTTGAATGTGAAAGGTCCGGACTTTTCGCTATTATATATATATATATATATATTTCGGTAATTGCCGAATACATTGATTGAAGCAGCAGCGCAGGCAGAAGCCTAAATGCCAGGGCACCGCGACTGCCATTAGGAGCTTAAAGAAACTTTGTTAATCCGATTTTTAAACTGCCTAAGGTTAGCTGAACTGGGAAAAGCCTATTCGGGGGTGGGCTAGGGACAAAGGAGCGGTCGTATCGGCCAGTTAATGAAGTTCAACTTCGTTAGTACTGGCAGGTACATCGCGAGGCGGTATCTTGGAAGGCAGCTCTGAGGGGCAAAGCCCATTGGGGTAGCGCCGGTGCAAAAGAGTCACGAGTCTGTCCGTTAGAGAAGAGTCATCGCTCAGTCAGAAGCTCTCTTCTGAACAGCCGAGAGAGTGTTTCATGCATCAACTGAATTTTTTCGCGGACGGTATGGCTGGTATTGATGAAACAACACACCTGCATCAGCAGTATCTGCCCAGATACACTCGTGAGCTACAAGAGAAGACCTAACGTTTCATCCTCAAAATTAAGCCACATTTATGGAAAACAGTCATGGGTGAGGTAAAACAGAGATAGAACATACAAATTTGAATCTCATCGTATAGTAATATCCCCAGAACTTTTTGAAAATTTCACAATATTGATACATCTACAACTGGCCTTCTGTCTCTAAGGTGGAACAATCGACATGAGGAAGCTTTTTCCAGTTCTACAAACCTTAGACAGTTGAAAAATCGAACTAACAAAGTTTCTTTAGGCTCTTTATAGTAGCCGAGTTATACTGGTAGTTATGCTTCTGCCTACACGGCTGGTTCGGTATAATAAAACGATGTAAATACAAAATAAAAGTTCCAGGCATACGTTTTTATTTCACGGGACTCCGTACAGGATAAATGGGAATTTCGAACTCTGTCAAAATTGTCATAATGATTTGCCAGGGGGAAAATTACTCAGTCCTTGAGCACACAAGAAAAAAATAATACCACGTTGTTATATGCGATATCAAAATCTCAACCTACGTGATTCCCTCAGTATTCTCCAGTTTACAAAATGTGTATAGAAGCTTCGCAGATCCTTAACAATATACCCACATACTGGATCCTACAAGATAGGGTGTACATGTAGATGCATACACCCTTTTGGGAACGTGAGCAAGTACTCTTTTCCTGCCTTTTATAGTCGCTGAACGCTCCCCGATAGATTTCGATTCTGATTAATATTCATGAAAAATAAAGATGCTGCGAAGCTGAAAGCCATCGAGGAACTAATTTGATTCAAAGCCTAACTGATGCCCGATTTCAAGAAGGTATGTTGTTGTTTACGTACATTCCCATTATAGCAAGAAGAATGGACTTTTGGTATCCAGACGAATGAGAAAGTTCCCTATTTTTGTAAACACACTTAAAATAAGTAATAAGTAAAAAGTGGAGTTCAGCAATGAAATTTTTGTTGTATATCTTAAAAAAAGTACAAACTACGCTATTCAGAAGTTTCCTATTTGTGGGATTATCTTGTTGGAGCGTGTGACTGAGTGATGACGTCACATGACACCAGCTATTATTGCTTCGACGCGCCATTTCCAAACGTTGCTCTGCTGCGAATTTACGATTTACGGTAAAAATAGGTCAGACTATCGACTTACACATACTGTATTGTACATGGGCATATCAGCTCCAGAAAAATATGTTTACCTGTACCAAACCATGGACGAATTAGAAAGAAGTAGTTTAAGGCAATGAACAGGACCAGGGAGGAAAAAAATTGCCTCTTTCGGCTGCTGTAAATATGATTTTTATATTAGTAGGTATTTAGTTAAGATGGATAAATGACCTAATTGGCGTAACCATTTTCATTTTGAGCATTTTGATTTTCAGTAATCAAAAATGGTTCGGTAGGAAAAGTTAGTCCGACTGTCATTTTAATACGTTTTTCGGAAATTCCTCGTTTTTTATATCCATATATATATTATATACTTATCAAAAAACGACTAATATAAATTTTATAATATTTTTTGCGTGACTGTGATCTTGATGGAAGCTTGTTTTCCAGGTAACCGGATGCATAGATTCCGAATTTGATGTCAATTTACTGCTATGATTCACGGGTGGCCCCTGGTAACTGGATTTTTGTCAATTCTTCACCTCTAATTCAGCGCCATGGCTCTTTAAGGTATTTCCCACGATGTTATTCGAATTTGGCGCCACAAATTACTCAAATGTATACGTAGCATTACTCACATATTGACATGAGTCCTACTTTCAAAAAACGACTAATCCTTGAAAAATTCGTGCACCCATGATCTGCATGGAAGCTTGTTTTCTAGATAAATCGGGTGGGTACATTCTGAATTCGGACTCAATTTAGTGCTGAGATTCACGGGTGGCCCGGATAAATGTTTGTGTACCAATTTTTCACCTCTAATTAAAATATGTTCAATGTACATAGCATCGCTTGCATATAGTCACGGAAAAAGAAAACTGATTTTAAGAACACTCAAGTCGCAAATGCCGCATAGTTAATATGTTATAATGTACATGATCGGATACAAGTGAAATGACTTCGGATTCTGCTTTGGAGACCCAAAATACATAAGATATAGGTCATTTGAACTGCATTTTAAGCTTTTTAATTTTTAGTAACCATGTAGGGATCAGACGTAGTAGTAACCTTGTGTGAAAATTTCATGAAAATCTGACCGGTACTTTCCAAGTTATAACAGAAAGACTGACCAACATGCAGACAGGCAAACTGACAGACAGACGGAAATGAGTGACACGGTTTTTCGTGATGTCATATAACATCCAGAAAATATATCATTTTCAAAATTCCTCGCGATTGCCTCCTCGCCAATTGAAAAGAAAATTTTAATACTGCTAAAATTCCTAACTATTCTTCAAACATCCAATAATATAATCTCAGAGCATCTCAGGAGGTACGCCTATCCTGACACAAAACTATATTAGTTGACTGTCCTCAGGTACCTAATTTTCCCAATCTGTACATCAATTGCTACCACGTGAATTCAATGGGATCTGTTTCAGTGTTCAAATCCGTAAGTTCTACAAGTGTATCCGCTATTGTTTCTGTTGAAACTGCTGACCTAAAAACTTCATATTGAAGTTCATACGAGTACTCCGAAACACAAAACCAAGCTACGTATATATCCGCCTCTCCTCACAAAATATCGTGAAACTAGTCCAGCAAATATAGCTTCATATACAGAGTGATTCAACGTACAACAGCAATATTCTTAAAGCAGAAAACATGAAAAGTTACCATAATCTAAGAATCTGGCAAGACAGAGCAGGAAATACATTTTCTCAAAACGCCTGAAACTTTATAAAAGAAAACTGGGTTTCTTTCGGCCCCGAATCAATTTAATTACAATAAATTTATATATAAAGGGCCATTAGAAGAATAGTCTTCTATGGTAAAGAACAATTTTAAAAATTAGACATTTTTCGGCCCCCACTAGGAATAAACGCAACTCAGGGCTATTGTTTATTGTTCATATTTAATTCTATTTTCTTGAATTACTACTTACATCTGAGAGAAACGTGGGGGCATGATACAAGCACACTATTTTAGCATTTACAGCATAAAAATCATAACATTTTTTTCCAATATGATGCATGTCTCCTTGAAATTGTTAATAATTTAATCCAATATTCGTCTAATCATAATCTGGCTGTCAACCCTCAAAAGCCTCAAATGTTATTACTTTGTGCCTAAAAAAAATTGATGACTTAACGTCGCTCTTGAAGATCCAAATAAGTAATCAAAACTTACACACAAAATTAAGATTTATCGAACATGCCAAGACTGGAATAAGGCTTCTTACTCTAATTACAAACAAATATCTATCAAATTTCAAGTTATGTAAAAAAGTATGCGAATCCTTGCTCATATCTGCTCTAAATTACTGTACTATAGCACACTGTCCATGTTTAGGCAGCTGTACCAAAAACCTAATTTAAATCATCCAAAATAATTGTGTGTTTTATTTTTGGACTCCGCAAACTTGATCACGTATCAGCAAAATATCCAATACTCAATTGGATGAAAATAAATGATTTGGTTAAATATCACCATCAGTTTTCATCCATAAACTATTACTTACGTCTAAACCGCCTTACTTCCGAAAAAAAACTCATTTAACAATGATATTCATTTTAGACCACTTAGAAATGAAACTATCTGGATGCCACCTCAGTATTCAACAACCCTATTTTAACGCAGTTTCACTTACAATGTCCCCACCAGATACCCTGACTACCTAGGGAAGAGAAGAATTTTATGTAATGTTATTGTTAGTGTAAGTCGCTTTTGTCAATTTTTGTCAAACAATATTATATAAATCGCCAATAAGCTGTTTAAATTAATACAAATAGAATGAAAATGACTGCCATATTAAAAAAATATTCTTAATTTGACCCAAATGTCGGGGGTTTTTGAAGCTTTTTTGCGTCGGTAATTTAAGTGATGGCAGCCCTACTTAATGAAAATTGCCACATCTATGACCAAGAAAAAAATGGGATGTGTTTTTGTATAATTCATGAATGTACTCTCTGCCAATGCAGTTTTGAATCACCCTCTATACAACCGTGTATTGTCGGATTATTCTGCCATAGGTTCTATCATCCACTTCATGCCGCAGTCCTCAATATAACGCACGGTTGGTTTGTTGACAGTCCACTTTCTCTGACAAAAGGACAACACGATGTATTGTTCTATTGCCTCTGACGACTCCAATATCGCTGCTGTTCGACTGTTGACAGTACGTCGTATATGTACAGTTTTAGTACGAGATAGTCCAATATCTGTTTCACTGGGTGGAATGTAAGGAGCTTTTTTATCTAAAAAATTTGGGATCTTGGCAGAATATATAAGTAACGTTAGAGAGAATTGAAGTTTGCTGCACCTCCTGGTGTCAAAAACTTGTTTGTTTTGTTCCCCACAAAGAATCTTAATTAAAAAAGGTGCAGAATTGAAATCGACATTTAGATAGGGGTGAGAAGGTGTTTATACAGGTCAAAAAACAATAATAATGATAATAACATTTATTTACTCAATGTACGAGGTCTGTAAAAAAATTCTTATTCATGCTTCCTTCTGAAGCCACACAGCGCTGGAGATGGTTCTGTGGCGTTCCTCAGGGCACTGTATTTGGACCAATATTATTCAATATATACTTGAATGATTTATAGGATATCCAACCGACGATGTCATCATTCTCCACAGAACAGGTAAAACGTAATTCATCCCATTTTCATGATATGCCAAAAATTGGCGAAGCTACCAAACATTAATGAAAATACTAACGGAGTAATTTCAAGGAAACATTTCCGTTAGGATACACTTCTACAATACGCTGTAAAAAAATTGAGATACCTTTTTACAAAATCAAAAGTTATATCCAGTTTTTGATGGAAAAATAATTGGAAATTTTTTATTATGCATTAGCCGAAAATCATATCAATTATGGTATCATAATTTGGGGAGTAGCCAACAAAACTTACATTGATGCTCTGGAGAAAGCACAATAATCTTAAAAATAATACACAACAAACCAATTAACTCAAGTACTTGATATATGACTCCATGGCAACAGACCAACATGAATAGAAAAAATTAAATTGTGTTGATTACAAGCACCGTACAAGAAACACATATGATTTGTTGAAAATTCCCCAACCACGAAAGAACTCATTGCTACGATTTTGGATCTTTTTGTGTCCAAGATCTTATAACCTTTACCACCTGAAATAGGACATTAACGAGTTTAAACAGTACTTAAAGAAATTGATAATATCTGCTCCTCCATCTAAAATTCATCAAGCTATCTACCTGAAGAATACTTATTTGGGATAACCTTTTCCCATATTTTTCAAGCCAACAAGTTAGTGTACTACATACTTACCTTTATCATTCAGGGTGTTCGCTTATTTCTTCAAATTAAGTATTGAGATATTTCATTGTGCTTACTTTCAAGTTAAGTAAATAAAATGTATATTTTATTTTTATACTCGAAACATGTATTGTAGATTTATTTGTCTATCTTGTTATATTAATGAATGTGTTATCATTACATCTTTAGGCTGTGATAGGTATAAAACGTTTGATGTACTGAGAATAGTCACATGGCCCATGCACAAAGAACTAGTATTGTTTTCTCTGAGATCGCTCGTATTTATTCGAATGTTGTTTGTAAACATTTTGAATAAATATTATTATTATTACATTCAAATCCACACGGCTACTAAAACTGGCTATTATTGCTTTCCCAGTAGGTTGCCAGCATCACAGCTAACTCAACCTTTCTCTGCAGCTGGCAAGCACTGGTATACAGAATAGTGTATATGCACGTGTGAATGCGGCAATTAAAGCTGTTGTTACGAGGCAGGAGCTTTAAAATGCGAGGTGCTCCCCGAGCGAAAAGTGAGGCCATCAAAGCGATCATTACGACACCCTGGCCGCCGGCCGAATTACTTTCTGAATGAGGTGAAAGCTGTTATGAGGGTGTTTTTATAGCCGGCCAAGATTGATGCTGAAATACATTATAAGTAAATTTCGCCATCCAAGGATGTACGAACGGCTTTCCAGGAACATACGCACGTCTGTGAACTGCTTTTCCTTGGAATAACTCTGGTTTATGTGACAGATCAAGCGGAAATGCTCCACTCGTTTAGCTAACGAGTTGTATTTTTCGTTTTATTTATTAACAGTGGAAAGAGTAGTGGGCTGGTTGGTTAGTATGGAATTTGAAAAATGTTTGGTTTCTGGACGCACAAAACGAACAATCAACATGTTGAAATTGATCGTGATATAGGATGTAAGCATACAAAATATTTCAAAAGCATTTTACTTGCAAGGTCAACTCTGTAGCACCCGAAATCTTTCTAGAAGGTTCACAAGTCTGGTTTATGTAACTCAACACAGTGCTATTGGTTGAAGTGTGTTGGTTGCCGGGCTTAGGTGGCTGTGATAATCACTGAGAATGCGTACCGAATAGCGAAAGGAGCGCGCAGAAGCTACAAAGCTTGATTTCCAGATACTGTAACTGTAAACTGTGATGGAAAATTGTTGACACCTTTAAGTGCACGTAAGTCTAAGGGCCGTATCGTCAGTCGTTCCTACGATTGTAGGACGCCTTTATGGCCTCCTTGATGTTCATAGTCTTTTCTTTCCTTCAGAAAGGCTAGGGCATTTCCAGATTCTACTGTTCCGTGTGAATTTTTGGTTTCTTTTTGAATTGTTGGAAATTTTAGGTTGAAAAAATAGATGATATAAATCAAAAGCATGAACAATTTGATGCAAATAGATATTTGTGACATAACCTCAAAATAGACCGCTGACACCGAACAGTGGAAAACTATGAAAATCAAGAAGTCCATAAAGGCGTCCTACAATTATTGTAGGAATCACTGACGATACGGCCCTTAAGAAGAACATGTACCTGTTGTTATAACGTATAAAAATAAAGAGCAACTTGTCGCTGTACCCAAATTGGATAGTTCCTCAGACAGCGAGCAGGTTCAGGCGGCTTGGGATGGTATTACTGACTAGAATCTTAAAGATAAAGTTCAGATCCTCTGTCGAGCTACTACTGCTTCAAATACGGGTCGCATTAACGGTGCCTGGGTGCTTCTCGAACAAAAACTTAATAAAGAAATGCTTATTTTTGTTTGCCGTCATCACGACTACGAACTAGTGTTAAAATTCGTATTTGAATCAAAGATCGACCAAGTGACTGCAAGTCCTGACATTCTAACGTTTAAAAAGTTTCGCGGGAGCTGGAAAAATGTGGATCCCGAGAAAATATAGATTTATACTGAAAAGCCCGTGTCACGTTTTGATTTTGTAAGTCATTTACATTATTCTCTAATCTACTCTTTCAACAGAGTAGCAATTGGCTAACTTTTGCCCGGATAAAGCCGGAATTATTATTATTACTACAATTTCGTTTAGTCATCATCCTTGGTGTAGGTTTGGGCGTGGAAGGATGCCCTCTTGACAGACAAGTGAAAACAATATCCACTTAGGTATGAGCGACGTTCCATTGTCTAATATGGTAATCAGCGGTTTCCTAATATTCGCAAGACGCTGTTTATTCGATACAAAGCTACCAAGCTTTGCGTAATCCATTTATTTGACGTTCTCCCCACCTACAATACATTCAAATCATTTCAAGATGTAAGATCGACTTATTCACACCCAGTGCGTCATTTGGAGTAATCCTCCGTCACGACTCAAGTTCGTAGAATTTGGGATAATCCATTACATGACAGATGATTGGCGATACTTCAGATTTGCGTTACCTTCAAGCACTCCTCCGTTAAACTTTAGTACAGTAATTTTAAGCTCTAAACTCTTCCACATGGGCGGCTTCCGTTAGCTTTCAAAAAAGGGTGGATGATGCATCTCAATGTTACCAAAGCATCCACCATTTATTGAAACAAGAACAATAATTTGAAGATTTACTTAAACGATTCAATAATATACGAGAAGGTACCCAAAAATAACCGGAATAGCATTGCAGTGGGCAGAGCTTGTGTAGTACACATTTCTGCATCTAGAGGCGTACAGCACAACTCATTACCAGTTCAGTGCCACCTGAGTTGTCGGTCCAGCTTGTTTCGTTCCTCTGTAGTCATTATTTTTGCTAGAACTGTTTCGTACTTGTTTCGTTTTTTACGATGGCAAGCTTCAGTGAGCAACGTGCAGCTGTGAAATTTTGCTTCCTAATTGGTAAAAATGCTGCTGAAACTGTTTTAATGTTGAAAATAGCTTACAAAGATGATGCTATGTGAAAAACTCAGGTGTACGAGTGGTTTGCTCGATTTAAAAGTGGCCGCACGTTGACTGATGATAAACCTCGCTCTAGACGTCCATCAACTGTCCGAATCGACGAAAATGTTGAAAAAATTCGAATGCTTGTGCTTGCAGACCATCGACTCACAATCGATCAACTATCCTGCAGGTCGGTTCAGCGGATTTTAACAGAAGTTTTGGGAATGAAAAGGGTTGCAGCCAAGTTTGTTCCTCGGGCTCTGACTGACAATCAAGAAGAACACCAAGTTGAAACATGTCGTGCTTTGAAACAACAGCTTGAATCTGATCCAAATTATCTGTAAAAAATCATCTCTGGTGATGAGACTTGGTGCTACGGTTATGACCCAGAAATGAAGCAACAGTCAAGTCAATGGAAGACGCAATCGTCACCCCGTCCAAAAAAATGTCGTCAAGTCAAATCAAACATCAAAACAATGCTGATTTGTTTTTTTGGTGTAAGGCGTAGTCCATTCCGAGTTTGTTCGCCCAGGTCACACTGTCAATCAGACCTTTTATTTGGAGATTTTAAGATGATTGCGAAACAGTGTTCGGCAAAAAAGACCCGCATAGGTATTACGTAACTTGAAAAATGACATTATGCTGTTTTTTTTGACATTATATAGGTTTTTCTACAAGATGTTAACTTAGCACCTAGTTGTACGTGCTGCCTAAACGTCATGAGGCTTGTTATCAATCTTTGGCTCTGATGTGATGTAAAATCTGCTTCTGAGATGGCATTACTGGAGGTCAAAGGGATAAGTTGTATGTGTTGATGATAATAATTACATTGGGTTCTTGTCTCAAATACACTTAATTGAGATTCAAAGCTAGTTGCGCATTCACTTTTTCTTATCCATTCTGGAAATTACATATACCAACTTGCTGAATTTCAAGAATGAGAGAGATAAGAAATAATTATATTCACTGTACACTGTCGAACTACAAGCCATATACATGCTAACAGTAATTACACACAACGCGGGCACGGTGATGATTTCCCGCGATTTCGTAATTTATAACTTTGAACATAACCTCTCTTCAGAAAGCACAACATAAAAATAACCCGTCGAGCACAGCCAATAGATATACTTCATTGGCAGCATGAATGAATGAATCTTGAAATTAGATGCATTCCGGCCACCATAAGGAGCCAGTACATACGCCGCTTAAGCGGGCCCTTATGCACCTCTACATTCCTTAGATTACAAGCCTCGCCCTTTTAGTGAAGTTGAGAATTGCTTTGAGACCAAGCTCCTTGACATCCTCAGGGTCCAAAGTAATGGACCCCAGTATAGTCTGCCTATAGTAGCTCGCAGCAACACAAAACGTGCGCCGAAGTCTCTTCCTCTATCCCGCAGCGTTCACACAAGGGATCCTCAGCCACCCCCATCACGTGCAGGTGGCGTCTTAACGTGTTATGGCCAGACAACAGTCCCACCAGCAACCTTAGGTTGGCTCTATCCAGAGATAGGCAGAAACGTCCATCCTTAGCACTGGCCCCTTCAATGAGTTCCCGTGCCTGGCGGAGATGTCTGGAGATTCTTCTCCATTTCTGAGAGTACACAAGCCAGAATCGCAAAGATTTTCGCCTGGAAAATAGTGGTGTATCCACCGAGAGGCAGAGATAGCCTAGTTCTAGGCCCAGAGACCCCAGCAATTGAGCCCTCTTCGGTGACCGAGCCGTCCGTGTACCAGACCTGCCCGCTCACTCCGGAGAGTCTCCGGCTACCGGCGTCCCACTTTTCCCTCGTTGGATGCTCCACAATTGGCAGCATATTCAGGAATGATTTTCTCACACAGCAAATATCACCGATTACAGACAAGAACCATTTGGTCTCACAAAACATATGCAACCAATAATGCGTTTAGTTTAGTTGAGTGATTCCTTCTTAGATGGACGTTCACAACGATCCTAGTGAGCAAACGTGGAATGACTGCGCCCTAAAAACTACCTAGTTTGCAAGATGACATCTTATAGACGTTTTATAGGTTTTTTACATGATACCCATGCCGATTTGTGGCAGTCAGGAGACTTTTTCTTCCACCACGATAATGCACCTGCGCACACAGCCATCTGTGTTCGACAGTTTCTGGCTAAAATTGGCATGGTTCCGCTGCCTCACGCACCTTATTCGCCTGACCTGGCTCCGTGCGACTTTTTCTTATTTCCCGAAAAGGGGCATGAAAGGACGCCGCTTTGATGACATTAAAGAGGTCAAGAAAAATGTTTCGAGTAGTAGAAGCACCGGTGGAACAAGTGTATTAGTTGTAGTGGTCAGTATTTTGAAAGAGATAAGGTTACTTTGTGAAAAAGTTGCAAACAAATAGCTTTTAAAAAATAATTCCGCTGTCTTTTGGCTACCCCCTCGTATATAATAAATAAACAGCGAATCTACCCAAGATTTCGCATATTTTATATGCGTTTGAATTCATTTTTCAGTTATGGCTGCGGGTACCAGGATATCAGATATGTCAACTGTCATCAATGTGTTTCGGATTGAAGACGTAATACTTAGAACAGTAAGAAAGCATCCCAGAATAAGATAAACATTTATTCCTCCTACGTTGATTGAAAAAAGTTGCTATATTTTTTTGAAAATGCAAAACAAAAAATCTGTAATAAACGTGTATATTTTACAATACTGATAATAAGTGGCGGCCTTTCTCGCGACGGCATTACAAAATAATATACTTAATAGGAAAAAGTGACGAAAAGCTGGAGTGTCAACTCACGCTGTTTATTAGCACGACCCAAAGATATAGACACAATTGATAAGCTAGTACTTATAAAGTATATAGTTCACAACAATGATCACCAAAAAAGTAAAGCATAAAGTATTCCACTTCACATAGAAACGATAATTACCTGTAGAGGTACGTAAAGTTAAATTCTAGCCATCCGATTGCTTTAAGGGCATCTTTAACCTTTTTTTAAGTTGCTTAGGCTGAATGCTTTACTCATTTGGCAAGCAGTTATATAGGGTGATTTACCCAAGTATTGTCCGCATTAAAAAATATTTGTTTAAAATTAACGTGCACCAGTGGCGGAGATACAGGGGATTAGTGGAACTGTTTTTTCGAAACCCGCAATTTTTCGCATTTTACCTTCAATTTGCTACAAATAATTGCTCTTGTGTTTTTTCCTAGACTGCGCTATTTTCGTAAAAATAAAAATAAAACGAATTAGATCATTCACGAAGAACCGAGATTAGTTTCAAAATAAAATAGGAGGCCTTGATACTAACTTGACGTTTCTTGGGAGATAATTTGTCAAAGTTATGTGTTATACGGTTGTTATCGTTGCTACTACCATTAGTAGATTTCCCAATAGACGCCAACCTACCCCAAAGGTTTTTACGCGTTCATTTCTAAGACTTCGGCAATATGGAATTGTACTAGGTGGATTGCAGCCCATTTACCATGTTCCCAAAGTATTGCGTTAATTCTCATAATGAACTTATTTGGTCGTTAGAAAATCCCCGTTCTATAAGAATCGACTCGTTACAACAAAGTTTATCTAGAAAAGTTTGATGCGGCATTTTCAATGATCAACTGCTTATGCACGTATCGCCACAACGTTTAAATGCAAACTCATACTTAGCTTTTCCAGAGAATTACTTAGAAAATGTGTTAGATGATGTTCCGTTAGCAACGAGACTACGAATGTGGGATCAGCACCACAGTGCCCCACCGCATGTTCGTCGTAACCGCATGGTTAAATAATAATTTTAGATAACGATAGATTGGCAGAAACGGACCCGTACATTGGCCTGCGAGGTCTTCTGATTTGAACCCCCTGGATTTCTTTTTGTGGGGCGCTTCTAAACAACTACATCAGTTACAAGAAATAATAGATAATGCGTTTCTTCAAATTCAAGCCACAACTTTATTAAAAGGATGCCGCACTTGTATCCGTCAGAATGGTGGTCCTTTCAGACATTTATTGAAATTGAAATAAAGCTTTCATTATCTAATGTTTTTTTTTTTATTTTACGATAAGAATGCTCTTTAGGAGAAAACACAAGAGTAATTGTTTGTAACAAATTGAAAGTAAAGTTCGTAAAATTTCGCGTTTCGAAAAAAAAAACAGTGGCGTACTATTTTTATTTGTAAAAATAATGCCACTAATACCGTGTATCTCCCCCCACTGGTGCAATTTTAGTTCATTCCAGCTGACGGTTTTTTATTTTTGAACTTTTAATGAGGATCTCGAGGAAAAAAGTTACAAGGACCCCCCCTTAAAATGCGGTACTGTGTATGATGTTTCATTTTTGGTCACGACTTGTGAATCACCCTGTATAAAATATACTCCACAATATATGTAAAACATATTCCAGAATGCTCTGAAAAGTAAAACCATAAGCCTGCGCGTTTGATTAAATCTATGGATCTCTCTGGACAGCTCCATATCCCATTTCTTTCAGAACACGTCAGATAGGGCATTAATATTCTGTGTGTGTGAATAAGCCCATGCGTTCACGGTAGACGAGGAGATCGTTTGTCATAAGTGAACGGAAGCGGCGCGATCAGGGGCAATTAGGATCACCCAGAAGCAATTAGTGGACATAGCATGTGTGCAGTTCCGTACACAACAAAAATTCCCTCTTCGTGTTTAAAATATTCCGAAATTTTCATGCTTGTAATGTTCCGGCAATCTATCTTATCTAAGCGTACACATGCTGTAAAAATTAATTACACCTGAATGAATAAGGACCATACAGAACAGAACCCTAGGCAGGAAGGACTCCATTGTATAGCCGAATCGAACCACATGTAAGTTTTAACTTCTGTTTATTGTACGACGTTTCCGCCACCATGAAAAAAGGCTTTCAAGTACAATGACAATTTACGACAGTATACAGGGTGTCCCACGTAGAACTGCAGCGATCGATTATTCGAAAAATTGATGTTAGATAACTATGAGAACTTGGTGATACTTTTTTTGTACTGGAAGTACGAGGTCTGCAAATTAAGTGGCGAATGTCAACCTACGATCTGAATGCACAAGATCCCCGATTCTGGGGATATTTTCATCGGGTCTTGAAGATGAGGCCCTTCCGCTTCGTAGTATATCTTCAATCGAGTCTATCCCTTCTGTCTCAAACCACCGAAAAACCTGGACAAAAAACCGATTTTCATAGGCCTGCTGAAGTTTAGCAAGAGTTTCCCTTGAACTGTGCCCTAGTCTGAAGCAAAACACTGTTGTTAGAAATTGATGTTACTCATTTTTAGAACACAATAGGAAAAACTGTTTTAAAAAAAGCAACCAAATGACTCGAGCGATTTCAAACTTGTACTAAATGCGGGTCACATGTTTTCCTGTCTCCCCTCCAAGGCCGGCGCCTTCCGTATTGCCAGATCTATCCCTAACAAGTTGTTTATTTTGAATGGAACACCATATATATTTTTCAATTTTTTAAATCTTCGAAAGATTCTAAATGCATTTGCATTCTATACCTACTCGTAACT